CTGACATCATTTCTGATTAATGAAATACCAGATTATTTGTTAATAGTTAACAGCCTGACATCTGGCTGTAAAACCGATTAGCTGTAAGCCCTACATCTGCATTTACAGCTGAGTTGGCTTTAAAACCCTGTTATCAAGCCTTATTCATAAGTTGTTCAGAATCAACATTTTTTTTTCAACCTGAATATAGGCTGAATTATTCCCTGATACTCCATGTCTTTGAGAGGGGGACAGAGGGATATGGGATGGTAGCTGGAAAAGGAAGACTGGGTCACAGAACATTCCGCTTGTCCTAGCAACCACACAAGGGCTGAAAGGCGGAGCAGAACTGTAGATAAGTCACAGCGGGTATAAGAAATGCCACATGAGTGAGAGTGATAAACAGCCACTCTAGAGATTCAAATAGCGCTGTGCTTGAACAACACATGACAAAACAACTCAAATCTATTGGGACACTTTGGTCAAATCAATTTCTTAATTTTTCTGTTGTGTTACTTCCTGTCTCCCATGAATAGGAAATTGAGTGACTCTTGACATGATTTTCTATTTCTAAGTCTGTGCCAGGCAATTCAGTCATGAAGCAGGAAGAACACAAATTATTCTCTTTCCTGAAAACGGTAGAGTTAATGCTGGAAGGATGAACTGATGTAAACAGGTAGAAACTGCCAACAAACTTCTCACAAACACACAAAAAAGATTTTAAGTAAAAATTCAAACTGAATTGTGTTATAAAAATCACCACTATTTTTCCGATAGGAATATCTGGGCCATATAGAATCATCTAATTTTGAAGGACTGCTACAACTCTCCTTTATAAGAAATTTCCAGAGAATACCACACAAACTCTGATATAAAAACATTCTCAGTAATGTTTTTCTTGGAGGGAAGTTTATACTGCTAGCCAAAGGGAATATTTTAAGAATCCCCCAATTGCATTGGAGACAGGGTTAGAAGGAGGACCAGAGAGAGAGAGAGAGAGACTCTGATTCCTTTTATACAAGTCAATATGATCCTTCAAGAATATACTATGCACACTTTAAACCTTGACCCTAAAAGAAATTACAACCTGGGAAGTTTGTATCTAAAGTTATATGTAAGTTGCAGTGGAACATTTTAAATTGGGTATTAAGCTTTAGAAATTATGTGGAGTGGCTTTATTAATGGTGGTGGCAACTATCCTCTTTCAAATAAATTTGTTATGTTTGTAGTATCAATTAATTTTGTTAAAAAAATAAAGTAGGGAGGCCATGCAAGAAGTAGCAGTTATCTTTGTCTAATTGAAAGACAAATAGAGAAAGAGATTCAGCTTGTTTCTAAACTCTTTTTTGAGAGTGCAAGTCAGCAGCAACCTGTTACCATCAATGCATACACCACGCCAGCTGGAAGGAACATCTGACAACCGTCACAATTATGTTCATAACTACACGAACAGATATTTTGCTTTAAGCCATAGTATATCCAGGCCTTTTTAGTTTCCCAGGAGTTGGTATTTTTCACAAGTAGTGAAGTGTTTGGGTGTCACTGGTAAGGCAAGGACAAGTATAAGCATGTATTTGTGATGTTTTGTCATGAAAGATGGGGGAAAAGTAGCATAGAAAGCAGAGAGCAATCCGGGGAAAGTCATTTTTAAAATTGTTTTCATTTTTTGAAGATGGAAGAGATGAGACTGAGCTTAAACGCTGACGGAAAGTACCTAGAACAGAGGCAGAAGCTAAAGATACAGGAGAACTATAAATGTGTTCAGCATGCAGAAGGGAATCTGGTTCTGAAACCACGGCGCTAAACTAGCAGACCGTGCATGCACAAACATCTTCACCTGGAAAGCCACATTAAGTAATACTTTTTAATTTAAATTTGCAAACAGTAAAAGTCACTTGTGTGTGCACGTGTGTGAACAGTCTTCTGTGTTTCAACACATGCATAAATTCTTGTAAGTACCACCTCTAACAGAACACAGAGCAGCTGCATGCCCCAAAGATGTCTTGAGTGCTGCCACTTTGCCGTCAGATCCTACGCCCACCTTAACTCCTGGCAACCACTCATCTCTTCTCATTCCCCACTGTTTTGCCTTTTCCATAAAAACATATAAATGGTATCACGTAGCATATGACCTTCTGAGACGAGCCTGCTCAACCTGGCACAATGCACGAGAGTCATCCAGGTTGTTGCCTGTATCATCATTCCTTCTTATCACTGAGTCATTTCTGCTGCATGGTTGGACCAGCCTGTTTGTCCACTCACCCGCTGATGGACATCTGTGCTGTTTCCAGGTTTGAGTGATTGTAAATAAAGCTGCTACAAATATTCCTGTACAGATTGTTATGTGAACATAAGCTCTCATTTCTCTAGGGCAAACATCTGGGAGTGGGACTGCTGAGTGAGATGATAGGTGAATGTTTAACTTTGTGTGAAATTGCCAAACTGTTCTCCAGGGTGGCTGTATCACTTCCCACTCCCGCCAGCAGCCTTTAAGAGTTCCAGCTGTCCTGTCTCCTTGGTACAGTATCATTGATGCTTTTCATTGTAGCTATTCTATTAATAATAAATATTAGTGGTATCTCACTGTGTTTTTAAACTGCATTTCTTTAATGGCTGTTGAGCATCTTTTCATGTGCTTATTTACCACGTGTATATCTTTAGTAAAAGTCTATTCAAATATATACATATTTTTTGCCAACTTTTTGGGGGTTCTTGTTTTCTTCTTGTTGAACTTTGAGAGTTCTTTACATATTCTGGACATAGCCCTCTGCCAGATATGAGATTTGCAAATTGTTTTTTCTGGTCTCTTTATAATGTCCTTGACAAACTAAAAGTTTTCAATTTTGATGAAGTCTAATTTGTTAACTTTTCCCTTTATATTTAGGTCATTAAATATGACATGTCTGATTTCAAATCAAAAGGATAGTTTATTATATCTCAAACAAGAAGAAGTACAATTAATCAAAGTATGAGCTTGAACTATTGACACAGTTTTGCCATCTTAATAGTAGATTGTGCCAGCAGCAAAGAAGCCTGGAGAGCAAGTGGCGGTCTATCCAGCTTCTTTGCCTTGATGATTTGTTTCAAGTCCAATATTGTTGGAATAATAACGTCAAACCTTGCTGCTAATGCATGTGTAGGCTGAGATGGCTTGAGATGGATTCATTTTCACTATAGCTTTCAGCTCATAATTTTCCACTTTGGTTTTAGGTTGCCCATGTGGCTCAAGTTCAAGATTAAATCACCAGAACAGAACTTCTCAAACTAGCGCTGTACTGTGCGTTCATTAGCCACATCCTTCCCAAACACTTCGTTGATATTTCAAGCTGTCTACATGGCACTGGTTCTACAATGGAACTCATATTTGAAAATAACATGAATTTTTGACTTTCTTATGAAACCTGAGGGAAGGAAGGGCTGACTGATGAAGAAATGTTTTGAATTGGAGAGAAAGAAAACAGGGAACTCATTCATGGAAGCTGGAGTTATGCATTATATAGTAGTTCACCCTTATCCAAGGGGGGTAAATTCCAAGATTCCCAGTTAATTCCTGAAATTGTAGATAGTACTGAACCCTATATATAGTATGCACAAATTTCTTTTTCCTTCTTCACAACTTCACATATGGAAGAGTCATTCTTACCATAAATCCTAGATGCCTCAGCATACCATTTTTCTCTCCTTAAGTCGAGAACTTTCACTTAAAGGAAGCACTTTACAGCTTCTCTTTGGCATATCAGAATTGCCTGCATCACTATTCTTGAATTTGGGGGCCATGATGAGGTAAAATGAAGGTGACTTGAATACAAGGGCTGTAATACCATGACAGCCAATGGGACGGCCGAGAGGACTACTGAGTGACTCTTGGAGGAAGCGTTCACAGTGCAGACACACTGGGTCAAGGGAGGAGCCACGTCCTGGGCAGGATGGACAGGACCGGAGATTTCACCATACTACTCAGGCATGCAATTTAAAACATATACATTGTTTCTGGAATTTTCCATTTAATATTTTCAGACTATGGTAACTGAAACTGCAGAAAGCAAAACTGAGGATAAGGGGGGGATTACTGTATGTCACACGAATAAACATAAAGCAGTACTAGTATATAATCAGGTGAAGTAATCCCCAATTGCCACCAATGCAAGTAGTACTTATGTTTGGAATGTCAACTGTTTCCAGTTTACAGCTTTAAGTAGCAATCTCTTAAATCTCTTGTAACAGGGAGCTGCAGTGTTAAGTTTATAACATGGAAAAAAGACCACAGCCATTCTTAAAAATACACCTGCAGTTTCTGCATATTATAATTCTACTGGCTTAAATTAACACAGTATTAATATAATATGTTCTTGGGGGAGGAGGTGGGAGGATGGATACTTAACAGATGAAAAATGGTAACTCAAGTAACAAACGATGCTACTGCCATCAGAAAGCAATGCTTCTGAGTGACCTTTGCTTGATGATCAAAGTAAAAATAGAACCAATAATGGATTTCAATTTTTGTGAATAATGAACACGGTGATATATTTTTTTAAATTACCTTTAATGCACAGAAATAAGGGCAAAGAATGTTACAGCTAGATATGTGTAAGATAAAACATATCCAAATGGGATTAAATGTTTCATCCTAAGTAAATCCATCTGTGAAAACAAGCCCTGAATTCTTTTGGCTTTTCAAACCACCACTCTCATAGGTCACGTTACTTCTTGGTCAAACACAGAGCGAAGCCCATTTGACTGTGAGAACACGCACTTTGCGTTTTTTGTTCCACATCTTTCCAATCTTATTCCTGCATTATCTTGAAGGCTGCTCGTTTCCTGCACTCCACCTGCCCCATCTCCTTTTCCCCTGGGACTGGCTGAAGGGTGCCAGCAAAGGGGGGCAAGCTCCAGGAAAGAGTGGCCCTCCCTGCTTGCAGGAGAATGTGCAGATACACAAGGGTGCATGCTGGCAGGAGCCCCAGTGTCATCACTTCTGGGCGACCAGATCTATCACAGCGTCTTTAGAACGGAGAGCTTACCCATTCATAAGAGAGAACCCAGCAGCCGCGTGTGATTCCCAGCAGCACATTCAGGGTGCGGATGGGCTCCCCGCAGAGCACGTGCGTGGTCGTCTCACAGACTTCCGGAGCGAGTGAGAAGCCTTCAAATTTATTCACAACCTGGATGACGACATTCTGCTTTCTATCAGATAGAGGGAAAAAAAATAAACCAAATGAATATATGTGCTGCGTATGAACATCCAGGTGATGATGTTAAATAATCATAATAAAAAAACTGGAAAGCTAAAATTTTAAATTTTATTTTGGTTATGGTGCTCATGTCTTAAGATTAATGACTTGAAATCTGGATAAATTAAAAAAAAAAAAAACTTGAGATCTCAACTTGGACTATTTTAAGGGCTGAGAAAGCAGGCCCTGAGGCTACAAATGGTCTGCCCCAGTGTGGGGCCCCTTAGGGACAGAGCCAGCATCAGAAACCAGACCTTATTTGAACCAATTTGTACATGGTCAAGACCAAGATTCTCACTTACTTTATTTTGAAAATACACCATTTATTGAGTGCCAAACACATAGTTTTCCTACGAAGAGGGGAAAAAAGATCCTTTTTATTAAATCATCAGATCCAATCTGGGGCTTTGACAGAGGCCCTCATGTTCCACAAAGCTCATCACCACTTCTCTCCTGCTTTACCCTTTCTTTAATGCTTAGAGTATCCTTTTGTCAGAAAGAAATTCCTTCCATCTAACTTCCTTACCAAATAACTTTCAGTTCTTCTTCTCTTCCTTTTACAATTCCTTCACATAATGCCTTTAGCTCTGACATTGCTTATCTCTCTGTCTCCCGGGAAGTTTTAAAAATCCCCAATGAAATACCAAGGGTATGAAAGCGTTTCTAAGCCACACTGTGATGTACATGGTGAGTTAAATAGACACCTCTCCTCTCTAAAAATTTGTATTAATATTACCAAGAGAAAGAGGCTTTTGTCTATGCTTATATAGACTGTCTCTAACCCTCTTCCTTTCAAAGGATGGTGTTTCTTAGTTTTATCTCTAGTAATCTTTAGGTATGTCCATCTCAGTACCTTAATTTCTTTACCTGTAAAATGAAAGGGCTGAATCATATCACACTTTGAAAGGGCTGAATCATATCACACTTTAAAATTCTTAGAGATCACTAGGATAGAGAAGATATATACATGTGAGTCAGGATCTGGGCCCCCTCGACACTCCAACCAGTGGTTCTGCGCTTACTTAGGTCATGAAAAATAGTAAATTTGGAAAAAATAGAGGCAAAAGAAAACAAAAACAAAAGTAAAAAGTAAAAGCCTCTAAACTGGATGTTCTCTGGAACTCTTCATTTCTGAATATCTAATTTTCTCCATTCCAAGTCTGGCAGTTGCCAGCCATTTGTTGGATGTGTCAATAAGTAACAAGTGTCTCCTCAAGGCATGGTTAATCTGTATGGAGTCAGAATGTCCTGGTCCTGCTCTTAACCCACACAAGAAGTCTATGTGCGGAACAAAGAGTAAGAATGGATGTGACCTAAATTAAAATTTTATTTTTACACCTTGAATGAGAAAATAACTAGTTATTAATTTTTTTATTTAAAAAAATACAGACTTTTAAAAATATTACACTCATATTCAATGTTCATTTCTGTATTAGACTATTTAGAACGTTCAATATATTTTATAATATATATATATATATATATATATTTTTTTTTTTGAGACAGAGTCTCACTTTGTTGCCCAGGCTAGAGTGAGTGCCGTGGCGTCAGCCTGGCTCACAGCAACCTCAATCTCCGGGGCTCAGCGATCCTCCTGCCTCAGCCTCCCGAGTAGCTGGGACTACAGGCATGCGCCACCATGCCCGGCTAATTTTTTGTATATATATATTTTTAGTTGGTCAATTAATTTATTTCTATTTATAGTAGAGACGGGGTCTCGCTCAGGCTGGTTTCAAACTCCTGACCTTGAGCAATCCGCCCGCCTCGGCCTCCCAAAGTGCTAGGATTACAGGCGTGAGCCACCACGCCCGGCCATTTTATAATATATTTATACAAACTTTCAGTGAGCTCCTTTTTTGCTATCTAATGTATGGTGTTTGAATTATCCATCCTTTTATTTTCAGCCCATGAGCAGGAAAAGGACCCTAAATGTCTACTCTTTATGTAGCATATTTCTCATTGAAATGTTCCAGTGTTTTGATGAATGTCTGAAAACCTTATAAAACCTCTGATTGATATAAAAATCATGGTTTTCCCCTTTAACAGGAATTAAAAAATCTGCTACAAAGAATATAGCACTATATTTTTGTTGGATGTTCTTATTGTGTTCAATGTTTAAGGAAGATGATAAGAGCATGCCAGCAAGCTATTAACCCTTCCACAAAACGTGCAGATAGCTGCTTTAGTACGGCTGTAGGAAGCTTTCCATTACAGTGTTTCTTTAAGACCTTTAAGGGGAAGTTTTTGGTCAGCATTGCTCCATTTACTGAACATTCATGGGGGTGGGGTGGTTAAACAAAGCCATCAGGTTTTAAGCAGGCAAAAAGAATAGCAAAAAAGAGCACAAACCCTCTTAATGCTGTAGAAACAACCCCCCAAAAGTTTTCAGTACTAAACTGTTCACATTTCTTTTCTTTTCTTTTTCTCCCAGGTTTTCCACATTGGTACACATTTAACCACATTCTTTAGTTTCAATGATTTTCTAACTAAGATTTTAATTATATAAAGTAAAAGTGATCCACAACAGATCTGTAAACTGCCTTAAAGTACAGAGAATTGGAGTATATGGGAGAAAAGTTTAAAATTTTACATTGAATAGAAAGTTATCAAAACAATGGGTACTTACTCAGATGACATGCTTGTCATGACTAATGTTCTTGTTGGCTAGAGATTTCAAAAGAGAAGGAACAAAAAACAGTCAAAAATATAAAAAATATTTTTCCCACACAAATAAACTTTAATAAGTTTTTTTGAAAAGTTACATCATTTAAAAATAAACATTTAAGCATATATCAAAGAAAAAAAACTTTATATTCTTGGAAAAAATAGCCCATGAGATAGAACCTCAGATACTATCCCAAAACCAATCCAAAATAATCCAGGCATGAGGTAGAAGAGCAAAAACAAATATTTAATATTTCCCTCTAATAAGTCGGTCCTACCAGTTAGCTAGCAGACCTCTGCATGTGTCAATGTCTTTACACGGAGTTCAAGGGAAGGAGGAGTAGAAAGAGCATGTTTGCAGGCTTAACAACCACTTTTCCTAAGGCTTCTAGGCCACCACATTCTTGTTTCAGAAAAAGTGCACAAATGTCTGTGCTTCTGTTGCACGGGCCAACAAATCGCTTACACACAGAGGCATAGGTAATGGAACTTATTTATTGTGTTGGCATCTGCAATTAACTGTAATTGTAAATTTTTTTAAAAGATTTTAAATATTTTTATTTCATAAGAAATATACATGGACTGTAAAAAATTTAAATGCCATGGAAATATAGAATTAGAAATATGAATTCCCTGTAATTCCACCAGCCAATAGAAATTACTATTATTTAACAACTTGATAATATATTCAGCCAAATGTTCATTCTATAGCAGAGTGTGTATGTGTATATTATACATATAAGCAGAAATGAGTTCACATTATTCCTCTACTTTTGTAATTCGTATGAGATATTAATACTTCAAATGCAACCAACTGTGTAGTATAACCACTGCATACTCATTTATGTCTTAAATGGTCAATGTGAAGTAAATGCAAAGAAGGAAGAAAAGCCATTCAAAGGTGTCCGGAGCCACAACTCCTGATGGCTAAAAATGGCTGCCACAGCCTCACATAGCCAGCCTGAGATAGATGCCTGGTCATGATGGGGGGGGGGAAACAAAGCGCATACTTTCTGTTTCTCCAGAATGACGGAGCACCCAGACCCTCTATTGTCTTCTTATATAGCCATATATGGGTATTCTTTGTCCCTCAAAAAGACCCGCCGAGCTACTTCCTCCTTCTTCTTGCATATAAGTCTGCACTCTGCTCCTAATAAACGAGACTTGATCAGACTCCTGTCTTGTCTCCATTTCTTGTGTCTTATGCCTTTCCCAGGTCCCACTCCTTCCTCCGAGGACCCTTCTAATGATTGGTCCTGTGGGTCGAGACACAAAGGACCACAGATTGACTAGAATGATAGAATTAAAGGGGCCTCTGTGCTATGTAAGTACATTCAAGGAAGGTGGAGAAGGAAGAAAGAAGAGGTAATATGAATCCAAAAGATACTCAAAAGAGTGACTGATAAGGTAACAACAGATGGCTGCTTTCCTATCTTTTTGGTTGTCTCAGCAGAATATTCTACTGTTAGCTCTTTCCTTTTTCTGATACCACAAATGAAACAACTACTTGGCTTAAGTCTGGAGACAAGGCCTTTACGTGGGAGTCTCTAGTCATTGAGATACTGGTTGAAATCTCATCTTGCTCTTCAATGTCATTCTTGAATGAAAATACACAGACCAGCCCCAAATGGCTCTGCAGAACCATCCAAAAGCAGCCTGTAGGGTTCCACTGTGGGAAGCACCCATCTCTAGGACCATGGGGTGCAGGGGAAAGGAAAAGGAAATGGTCTTGAGTACTCTTTGACTTCTATGGCAAAAGGCTTCCTCTCCATGACTTCGCGCCATGAGAGATGCCCCTGTGCCCTTTGACCTCACCTCTGACTCCTTCCCTCACCCACACTGCTGCAGCCACACTTTTCCTTGAATGTGACACGCATTTGCTGTTTGTTCTTCCTGGAATGTTCCTTCCCCAGATTCCTACAGGGCTCTCTCATCTCCTTCAGGCCTTTACTCAAAAGTCACCTTCTCAGGGAGCCTGTCTAGTAACCACCTGGCTAGGACTGAAACCCCACACCGCCCACCCTTCCCTCGCCACTTCCTTTCAACATTCGTCATGCCACGTTCATCTTGTTTGCTGTCATTACTGCCCATCTCTCACAATTGCAGGGTAAGCTCTCTGAGAGCAGGGGCTTTTGTTTGCTTTAATGCTTTATCCCTGACACCTGGAACAATGCCTGGCAGACAATAAGCACTCAAAAATATTTCATTAAATATTTTTAATGAATGGATCATTACAAAGTGGGAAATAAGTGCTGATATCTACCCATCTATCTCTATACACAGTCATGCTCTGCATGATGATGTTTAAGTCAATGACGGACCACTGATAGCACAGTCCTCACAGCACTAGTCTGTACCATCTATAGGTTTGTAGCAGGCTATACCATTTAGGCTGCTGTCCACACTCTCTACGAAGTTTCTACAAAGGTGAAATTGCCTAATGATGCATTTCTCAGAATGTAAAGCCATAGTTAAGTGATGCATGACTGTATATCATATGTGAACATACATATGGTCACCCCTGTATGTGTCGTGGGTGACTATTTCCAGGACCCCCAAAGGCACTGCAGTCCAAGGATGTTCAAGTTCCTTATATAAAATGGTGTAGTATTTGCATATAACCTACCTACATCCTCCTGTATACTTTAAATCATCTTTAGATTATACCTATATGCAATATAGATATTATTGTATAATAATACCTAATACAATGTAGGTGATATATAAGTAGCTATTACACTGTATCGTTTAGAGAATAATGACAAGAAAAAAAAATCTGTATAAATTCAGTACAGGTGCAACCATCCTTATTTTTTCCTGAATATTTTTCGTCCGCAGTTGATTGAATTCATAGATGCAGAACCCATGGATGTGGAGGGCCAACTGTACTTCATATATGTATATACACATAGACAGTTTATATGTCCTCACATAATCTACTAATCTATTCTATTAATGTCTCATCTATTAATATCATTCAGGAAAAGAGAACCCTGGACAAGACCCCTATCGGTGTCAGGAAAGGAAGGTTTGGATAGATTCAAGTCAACCGTAGACTTGTACATCCCATCCCAGGCTGAAGGAGAGGAATTTTTTTCAAGGAAACTCAAAACCCTAAATGGATGTCAAAATGGAAAGAAAAAATACACAGAAGGCAAGAAAATCCAAACAAAAAAGAATACTGTGCTTTTCTGTCCCCGTAACTTGCAGACGTTGTCAAGAAATCTAGAAGACTAAAGGTTCATTTACATGGTCTAGCCTCAGAACCTCAAAGAGGCAAGTCCTCCCCAGAGTATGATGTTAACCAGGGCCAAGACAGATGCATGTGTTAGGGCTGTAAGACAAATGCACCCAGGACTGAAATAGTGATCAAATGAATAGAGCAATCTATAATAACAGTAAGCATATCTGCTTATCTGATCTCTTAAGTTAGGAATTTGAAAATACAGCCAGTATGATTCTCTTGATTAATCAAGGAGACTCCTGAGAAGATGCCTTGTATTGATGCCTCCAACATACTTGGAAATAAATTAAAAAAATAAGAGGATTGATGGAGAATTGGAAAACTTTGTCCTGACAAAGTAAATAGAGTAAAAAAGTTAACACTTGTAAATCAAGGCGGGAGGGAAAAACTTTGAAATACTTGGCATTGTTTACCACACATACACATCTGAGCTAGTTGAGATTATTTTGATCACAAGGGAGGGAAACTGCAGGGGAAAATTGTGAAAAGACTTAAATGGAACAAGAGATTACTGGGTGACTTCAGTGGGAAACTGTGCAAGGCTGCAGACACACCCTTCAAGGTTATCTGATTCTGTGGGCTTTATGCCTTTCATTGTCTTTGAGCCTTTTACAACTCTGTCAAGTAGAGTAAACTGACAGTAATGCAAAGAATTCTCGTCCACAGACATGCAAAATCTGCCCAGTGGAGGTTCAACTGACTTCCCTCCCACTCCAGAAGAGGCCAGTTTTGCACTTCTGAATCAAAGGCATTTCAGCACACCCAGAGGTTTTTCGATGTGTTTGCTCATTCCATACTCCTTTCTGCAGGACATAACAGCTTTCTGGTTCCCTCATTAATTAATGAATTAAGTAACACTCATTTTATATTAGTAAGAGTCATGATTGCAACATTCTAAGAAAATGATCCTTTAATCAGTTGGTGGGTATATGAGTGTTCGGTGTACAATTCTTCCACTTTTTCTCTATGCTTGAAAATTTTTATAATAAAAATTTTAAAATATAGATGTGCATTTTATCTAATTGGCAATAATCTTAGTTCATTTTCTGCTGCCATAACAGAATGCCATAGGCTGAGTAATTTATAATGAACAGAAGTTTACTTGGCTCACAGTTCTGGAGGCTGGGAAGGCCACAAGCATGGCACCCACATCCGGTCAGGGTCACCCCATGGTGGAAAGGCAGAAGGCATTACATGGTGAGCAAGCATATGAGACAGAGAGAGGAAATTGAGCCAAACTCATCCTTTTTATCAGGAACTAACTACCACAATAATGGCATTAATCATGCATGAGGCAGACCCCTCATGACCTAATCATCCCTTAAAAGTCCCACTTCTTAATACTTACAATGGCAATTAAGTTTCCAACACATGAACTTTTGAGGGACACATTCAAATCACAGCAGCAAGACAGATGAAAACTAAGCAAAGACAACTCAAAGGACCAAGTTGTTGCATATCCTTTAAAGCACTTTAAGTGCAGCTGGCATTTAGCATGTTCCGTTGAGTTGAAAAAAATTTCTATGTATGAAAGTCAATGTATTTTTCATCCTCTTAGAATGCTATTATTATTGGGAAATCCACAAAATACAACAATCAGTTATATAAAACAATATATAAAGTATGAGAAATACAACCAGCTGCTGGTAGACCCAGAACAAGATTGTAATTCAGGAAATCTCTCCGTGGCTCACGTGTTAGTTGTTTTGTACTTGACAGACCACTTTGCCTTTCCTTGTCTCACGTATCTCTCCTA